GGTTTTAATGCACTGAGGTTTCGAAAGATAAAACACAAAGTCAAACAGCCGGCCCAGCAGCTAAAACTGTGACCACTGCGGCGGCGTTACGAGTTGCGTAATGGGTCAGTCCTCATCGCTGTAGGACAACTCCTTATCGCTGTCACCGGGCTAAAGCATCTCATCCTCGGTACTGTCCATGGCATTCGAGATGCTACATTTCTTGAATGCCTTGATGACCATGGCTGATGATATTGCACACCAGGCGTCCTTCACCCATGCAGTGAAGCCTTTCAGAGAGGCGTGCTTCATCCTATTGCTTGACATGAAATCGTGTCGTCCGTCGATCAGCCAGTCGGTGTAGAGCGCCCGAATCTTTTCCTTTACTGGCTTCTTCAGGCAGACATCTAGCGGTTGAAGTTGAGGCATCATGCCACCAGGTATGATTACAAGGCCCGTATTGCACGCAGTGAGCTTGTGTTTGATCCACTGGTTGAGATGGCACCTGAATAGGTCAAGCACGAGCATCGTTCGCAGGCCCAAACTGGCGTTGGGCCATTTTTGCCAGACGTGGAGGATTTAATCGGCGACCAGGTTTGTTGTCATCCAACTTTTCTCGTAGGCTTGCACGATTACACCACTCGGGAAAACGACTCCTTTCAGGAGCGTCTTCCGTTTCAATGTCGGGTAGAGTGGAAGCTTGTGCCCATCTGACGTGCAACAGAGCATTGCCGTCACTCTCGTTTTCTCATGGCCAGATGTCAGCACGCGAACTTGCTTCACCCCCTTCTCAATGGTTATGGTGCCAGGCACATCGAAGTAAAGACACGTCTGATCGGCATTGCCGATTTGCCCGAGCAGGTTTCCGTTGTTGTCCCGCAAGTCTAGGACGAACCTCTGAAAACTGTGAAGCTTTTTTTCGTACTCCTCCGGCAACTTCTGGCATATGCCCGTTCGCCTTTCCTTCATAAAGTTTGTTAGCCAGCACCTGCTCGCTTTGAACTCTCTCTGCGTTAGCCCTTGCTGGCTAACTGCATAGCTAACTGCATAGTCCGCACTTCGAGCAAAACTGTCGTCATGGGCCGCTGTGCCACTCGCTGCTCGAGCACATACTCAACGAGCAGCTCTTCAGTTTGCGCAAACCGGCCCTGCTGTGGTCCACTAAAGCCTTTACGTGAAGCTTTGCTGTCGACAATCTTCTGCTTTTGTTTCCGCCAGTCCCGCACGCACATTTCGCGGCCCGATTTTCATCCGTTTCTGCACGCGCGATGACTTTTTTTTAAAATTGGTATCGTGGTGCACTCGTCGAATTTTTAGAGTCGGCCCTTCCACGCCGTCGATGTGAATGCACTACAAGATGGCGAACTCTCCAGCACACGTACGAAGTGCCGTACACAGAAAACACAATGGCAGAAACAGACGACGTGCGTAGGAGGCGGCCATTTTTAAAATGCCGATGGCAATAGAATGACCGTATTCATTTTTTTTTTTGTACTCGATCCTAACGCTCATGCGATTTATGAACCCGCTTTACCAGAAAAAATGTGCGCGTTAGATGCGAGTAATTATGGTAATAGCAGCAAGTTTCCCATACAGACACTGCTGAGGAGGTGCATTAGCGTTGCTGGTTTCTTTAGCACTTTATATCCTGAATTATGAAACTGCAAAACAAAATGAAATTCGTTTCTTTTGTATAGCTTTAAATAGCAACCTTTAATTGATTGTGCAGTTAAACTATTCAGAATGCAACTATAATGCATATTTATGTATGTTGCGAATTCTCCATGTGCCACAGAAGCAAGAACCTAGCCCCAAAAAATGTACAGTAGACTCTCAGTAAACGAAAATCTGTCAAACGAAAGTGCTGCTTAAATGAAACAACTGCCTCCAACACAGTCGGTTTCAAGCTTGGATTCTCCACTCTCGTTCGTCTCTCAGTAAATGAAACTCCTGTTGAACAAAATGCATTTTCCTGGTTTCTTCAGGTTCCGTTTAACGCGAGTCTCAGAACTATTGAGTGATGTGTGGGGTTTAATTAACGTCCCAAAACCACCATGTGATTATGAGAGACGCCGTAGTGGAGGGCTCTGGAAATTTCGACCATCTGGGGTAGTCTAACATGCACTCAAATCTGAGCACACGCGCCTCCAACATTTTCGCCTCCATCGAAAATGCAGCCGTTGCAGCTACGATTCGATATCGCTGCCTGCGGGTCAGCAGCCAAGTACCTTAACCACTAGACCACCGTGGTGGGGACTTCATAAGTGTGTAACACGTCGTGTGCCACTTCTTGGGTGTACACACCATATAATTATGCACAACTATTGAAGATAGAACTTATGTCACCCAAGAGAGAAAGAACAAAGAAATGAGAGCTGTTGCCTGCGCTTCCCGCTCTCGACCATCAGCTACAAAACAATTGGTTTTAGCATCAAATACCTTAGACGAGACGGCGCTAGCCTTTTCATGCTGAAAGCTACGTTCCTGTTCCTCGTAAGCGTTTGACAGCCTGCATTAAAGACACTGCCGACTGATAATAGCTAATCAATGAAGTGATCTTAATTATACTTCCACTTTAAAGCTTATTATGTGATTTCAAATTAAGGTCGCATACAAGGGTCATGTTTACACATGGCAATCTTGGAGCAGTGTCCCCAAACATGTATGTCACGATAATCTGCATGAAAACATGCTAGTGTTCTTGGACTCGTCAGGAATAAAGATCCTGATAGCATGGCGCTCTAACCGACTAAGCTTTCAGGTCCCGTCAATAAACATACTGACAATAGTTTACTGCATATGATCATTTTTCCAATGCATTAATGATGATTTTCTCACTAATACAAGAAATCTCTTGAATGATAAGCAGAGCAGTTAATCAGTGTACGGCATCCTACATACTACTTACTTAACAAGGAATGGGATGGTAAAACATTTGTTATTGTTCTGTTGCCAAAACAGTTACAAAACATTTGTAAAACTTATAGGATGACTCCGAATTAGAGATTGCATAGGCTTGGCAGATACATTATTTAATGGGAACATAATGGTTGTAGCGCTAAGGAACTACAAACACATCAGAGATAGCAGGACAAGCGCTTGTACCTTCCTCTGCCATGCGTTCGTCTTGTCAAGCGCTGAAACCAAGATGCTGTCAAGCGATCAGCTCGCCCAGCAACAAGCTCTTACCGATTGGCGTCGTGTCCTTGACTGCCGCCTTGCAGAGCTCAATCCTTGCAGAGTGGATGGGCACGTATCGGTCTTGCATGGACCCGAAGAGCAAAACATGCTTGAAAAATTCCAATCCTGCAACACAAGGGGGAGGCAACGAGAAAAATGTCTGCCATCGTGCACAACACAACCGACTGCCACATTTACATGATTGTAGGTCGACCCACTTTGTCTTTATTGGAAATCTGAAGTTCGGAGGGGGGGACACTAGTTCTGATTGTAAGGTCTCTAAAACAGATAAAATTATCTTTTGTTCACAGCATTCAAGCACTGCCATGAAGCCAGCTTGGCAAACCAGAATTCCTTTGTTTTCTTCGAAGACATCGTAAATAATTTGTTTTTTGATACGAAATGTGCTTGTGCTCCTTTTTTTTTTTTTTCTGCCGTGCGATTTTAGAGGGGGTCACCCTACATTCCAGTCGACTCATAATCGTGTATATACAGTATACTGATACCTGTTGTTAAATATTATGTTTGAAGAGCAGTGAGATGTAGAAGCGCACGCTTGCATTCCATTCATTTTAGTTTTCAACCCAGTGTCTAATAAACAAGACGTTCTCTACTTCTGCTCCGCTTCCTGGTTTTCAACACCTGTCTAAGCACAGCAAAAGAAATAGAGTTTTTACCTCATCTGCACACATACATAATTATTGTTGAAGAAGCACTGTGTTCCCAACCGGGTCAGTGGCAATATTTACGGCTGAAACGTGAGGCTCGAAAGCGCAGTGTTATACAAAGAATCCAGATCATTCAAATTGACAGACAACTTGTCTAGTTCCAACAAAGTCGTGTGCCTTTGAATGGAAAAATACTCCAGTGAATTCAAACTTTCAGAATTGTGCAGCAGTTGTTTCGCACAAAATCTTTTGCATCTATGAAGTGCCTTTTCAGAAAAAATTGCACTGCCCTGCTCCTTGCTTCGACCCACCTCCAAAGTTTGTCAAATAATGGCTGCTACGTACCCGGCTTCTGGCTGAGTTTGTAGAGAAAGGACTGCCGAATGTCAGCTGTGTCCTTCATGGCCAACTGGAGCAGGGAACCAGACTTCTTCCACTTCTGCATAAACCACATCCCTACAGAACACAGAACACACGTGAAAAATTAAGTGCTGATCACACATTCAAAACTCGTTATAACAAAGTTGCACGTTATACAAAATAAATTTGTTATATCCGAAAATTGTTATATCCGAAAATGCTCAGAGTAAACCAACCACTATACATAGCCTTCATAGATTACGAGAAGGCGTTTGATTCAGTAGAAATATCAGCCGTCATGCAGACACTGCGGAATCAGGGTAGATGAGTATTATAAACATTCTGGAAGAAATATACAAGGGATCAACTGCTACCATAGTGCTTCATAAAGAAAGCAACAGAATACCAATCGAGAAGGGTGTAAGGCAGGGGGACACAATCTCCCCAATGCTATTTACCGCGTGCTTACAGGAGGTTTTCAGAAGCCTAGAATGGGAACAGTTAGAGATAAGAGTTAATGGAGAATACCTTAGTAACCTGCGCTTCGCCGATGACTTTGAATTGCTGAGTAACTCAGGGGACGAATTGCAACTCATGATTACGGAGTTAGACAAGGAGAGCAGAAAGGTGGGTCTTAAAATTATATGCAGAAAACGAAAGTAATGTACTACAACCTCGGAAAGGAGGAGCGCTTCGAGTTAGGTAATAGTGCACTTGAAGTTGTAAAAGACTATGTCTACTTAGGGCAGGTAATAACCGCAGAGCCTAACCACGAGATTGAAGTAACTAGAAGAATAAAAATGGGGTGGAGCACACTCGGCAAGCACTCTCAAATTATGACAGGTAGATTGCCACTATCCCTCAAGAGGAAGGTATATAACAGCTGTATCTTGCCGGTACTTAGCTACAGAGCAGAAACCTGGAGACTTACAAAGAGGGTTTAGCGTAAATTGAGGACGACGCAGAGAGAAATGGAAAGAAAAATGGTAGGTGTAACCTTAAGAGACAGAAGAGAGAAGAGTGGATTAGGGGACAAACGGGGGTTAAGGATATCATAGTTGAAATAAAGAAGAGGAAACGGACATGGGCCGGGCATGTAGCGCGTAGACAGGATAACCCCTGGTCATTAAAGGTAACTAACTGAATTTCCAGAGAAGGCAAGCGGGTTAGGGGGAGACAGAAGTTAGGTGGGCAGATGAGATTAAGAAGTTTGCGGGTATAAATTGGCAGCAGCAACCACAGGACCGGGTTAACTAGCGGAACATGGGAGAGGCCTTTGTCCTGCAGTGGACGTAGTCAGCTGATGATGATGATGATGATGATGATGATGATCCGGTAAGGGGCAGTAAAGAGCGCCTTCGAGGGAATCCTACGCCACCCGCCACGGTGTTCTAGTTGTCATGGTTCTCGGCTGCTGACCCGCTGGTCCCAGGATCAAATACCGGCGGCGGCGTCCACATATTCTAAAAGGCGAGAATTATTGAGGCCGTGCGCTTATATTAGTGTGCGGTAAAGAACCCTTGATGGCCGAAGCTTTCATAACCCTCTACTAAAGCGTCTCTCATAATCATATTTTAGTTTGGGAACCGTATGCATCCAGTTTTTTTTTTTTTGCATTCTTTTCGAACTTATCACTTAATTTTGGGCCCCACCGTGGTGCTCTAGTGGCTCTGGTACTCAGCTGCTGACCCGCAGGTTGCGGGTTCAAATCCCGGCTGTGGCGGCTGCATTTCCAACGGAGGCGAAAATGTCGTAGGCCAACGTGCTTAGATTTGGGTGAAGGTCGAAGAACCCCAAGTGGTAGAAATTTCTGGAGCCTTCCACTACGGTGTCTCTCATAATCGTATCGTGGTTTTGGGACGTCAAACTCCACAAATCATCGTCAAATTACATCATGCAACTGCAGTCAAAATGGACATTAAGGAACGTAGCCTCTTTTTTTCTCTCGACAAACGCACATGATCGAAACGCTCTAACCAACTTTTTCTTTAATTTGATGCCGACACATTCGATAAAGTCTCGCGATACACTGTCAAGTCTCACGCGATTTCCTTAGGTCTCGCGAAGTATTATTGGCTCTAGCCATATCTCAAGTATTTCTTGACTCGCGAGACGTGTCCAGACTTCATAGTAATAAGGGCTGCAGCGCGAGCACGAATGTGCTAGAAGAAACAGACAAAGTCGAGGTACGGAAGGCAAAAGAGGACAACACGAGCGCTGCCAGACTTGAATTTATTTATTTTGATTAAAGTTGTGTTCTCTCTCTTGAGCTTAGATACTTCCGCAATTGACCGTTGACCGGTGAACGTTACCACTGCGAATTCAAACCTCTCAACAGGCTAGTCGACTACGACGCGCCAGCCTCTTGAGGCGAAAGCCCCAAATCTCACGTCAAACGTGAAAATTCACGTTGAGCGTCGGCGGCTTCGGCGTACCACGGTGTCGGCTTCCACACTGTTCACACAAACAATCATCACGTGAACACGTGACCATATCACTTCATTATTAGGTCACACGTTGCAAAACGTGTGACGTCGTCATGCCGCCACAATGACGGTGAAACGCCTAGAAAAAACTGCCGCTGGCATGAATTGAACTTCTAACTTTCGCATAACGCTTCCACAGCTTTGCCAATTCATTTGTAACGGTGCATGGTCGGCTCTACCGTCCACTTCATTGCAGTTAAACCTGGGGGTATTGGTTCGCGCGGCTCACATCAATGACGGCAAGTGTGCAACTCTCCTCTTTGTCACCTGGAGTCACGCAGCACGTGTTCTTTAAGCACTACAGGTTTTTCTGAATGCCTGTGACTATCGAGTAATGTCGGCGCACTTGTTGATCTTTTCCTTCTCTTTGTTTGCGCCTCCTCTTTCTTCCTTTCTTCTTTTTTCCAGTGCCCTCCCCTTTTTTCCCCTACAACGTAGGGTTGACAATCATGCTGCTGCCTGGTTATCTTCCCTGAATTCTCTCTTATAATTCTTCCTCCTTCAGAGCGCTGAATAGTATATATGTATATATTTGTATATATGTAAGCGTTACTGTTTCTGTGGGTTAATCGTTCACTAATGCTCAAAGAGGATTAATCAAAACGTGGCCCTCATTCTCGCAGAACGCATGTAAAGCTGTTTCAAACATGAATAACATGTCTTCAGTTTGCTTGACGTACTTCAGGGGGCGGATATGTCAGGCCGATGATGTCGAGTTGTTTGACTCCATGCCGTCGAACCAACAAAAGAAATGTACTAAACTTTTCCATCGGGCGAATTGCAGTGACCATAGAATGGTACGGTCTCTCATATATATATATATATATATATATAGGAGAATGAGAATGCACATTAACGTCGACGAGATACATTTCCTGTATATCACGCAGATAACATTAGGCAAATATGCCTGATGTATGACACCACCGAAAAATTAACTTATTAGAATGTTTGTCTACTACTTTATTATTGTTTTCCAATAAGACGCTTGTTGTGCCTGTTGGTCGATTTCTGTTGGCAAAACGCTATACATTTGATAATTGGTTAGATAGTGCGATAATGTATCTGTTTTTTTTGCAGTAAAATACCGATTGTCATGCATTGTATCACCAGAGCCTGGGAGCTTCAGTTTTTGTTCCTTCTCCCCAGAATTTATCACCCCCTGGGAGAAAGGACTTGAGAGAAACGTAACAAGTTTGACAGCCACACCTCTCAGCAAGTTCTGCTTTCAAGCTGAGCCCGACTGGAAGACATCATTGCCGCCCAAAACCATCCTTAGAAGAAAAAAAAGACAGCGAAAGACGTTCATTTGCATGCAGTGTTGAGAAGTGAACAGCTTAATGCAGGAGATTGAGCAAGTGTGCGAGGCAGTTGTATAGAACTCGCTTTGCACTAATGCGCCGCCCAGGGTAGTGAAGATAGTACTTCACTTGTCGGGTCTTAAACAGTGCTCACCTCATATGCACAACAACGAGCTGATTATCTCTGCGGCACGTCCTAAATTTGATGCACATTGGTCTTCGACATAGCGGTTAAGACATTACTTCACCAGCAGTCTCATAAGTTGGGCTCTTCTCAAATCTGCAACAACGAACTCACTGGCTCAACGACACGTCCAACTTCCGATGTTGGAGTCTTCGGAATGGTGCTAAGGCACGACCTCTCCCGTTCTGCTTGCCGTCTTCTCAGCGTTGCGACTTTTGCGAACTGGTTTAGAAACAAATACTGGGACCGATTTGCAAGCATACGTCGGCAAAAGAATGATGATGATATGTGGGGTTTAACGTCCCAAAACCACTATATGATTATGAGAGACGCCGTAGTGGAGGGCTCCGGAAATTTAGACCACCTGGGGTTCTTTAACGTGCACCCAAATCTGAGCACACGGGCCTACAACATTTCCGCCTCCATCGGAAATGCAGCCGCCGCAGCCGGGATTCGAACCCGCGCCCTGCGGGTCAGCAGCCGAGTACCTTAGCCACTAGACCACCGCGGCGGGGCGTCGGCAAAAGAAAGTGAAACTCCCTCAGACTCACTCAGAAAATATGTGTTATCACATTCACCAATATTCTCCTGAGCCTAGCTCACTCGGGCTTACACTCACGAATTTTTCTTCAACCGAACTCGCTCTGACTCCGACTAACGAAAATAATACTAACCCGGACTCACTCAGACTCGTAGCTCTGTCTGAGTCTGAGTAGTGCTCGTGAGTCAATCATGAGTGATTTCGATGGCATATGCTTACAATAGTCTTCTAAATAGTGGTAAGACGTGTCTCTACATATCCTGTCATACGTTTCACCCTGCTCAACTCTAGATGTATAAGTCAACTAGCTATGCAGCACAACCTAATATTGATTGTCGTTATTTTAAAACTAGCGGTAAGACATCACTTTATCAGGCAATATTATAAGTTGTGCTCTCTCAAGTCCACGTCTAAATAACTTAGCGGACGTACTGGGTGCTTGATTGCAATAGTTTTCCGGAAATAGAGGGGACGGACGAATGACTCATCTGTCTCTTCATAACTTGTTCTCGTCCTCAATTCTCCAACTATGAAGTGGCTCGTTCAGCAACTTACTACTACCGATTTGCAATAAACCTTCGAATT